ACCCCCTGGAATCTCACGTTGCATTTTGCAGCCTCTCACAGAGTCAGCACCCTTCTCAGTTACAGCGTCTGCACTGCACCCTTGTTTCTCGGAAGCTCCGCCTCCTGCCAGTCTACTGTCTGCTGTTTATCTGGGTAGAGCCCGCTATCTAACCATTGGAAAACACCTCCAAGAAATGTTTGTGCAAAACAGATATGAAGCCAATTCTTAGTTAGTATGAAAACTCAGAGAACATTTGTTCAGACTTCTCTTAAAATCTCTCTCTGAAATGAATGATTCCAATTGGTCTTCTAGGATATTTAACTTCACTTAACGAACCCTAGCCAAATGAAAAAAATCCCATAAACATTTGCTTTTTAAACCATCTATTACTTGTTGTCTGGGATTTACTCCAAAATGAAGCAGTGTTAAGTAGGAGTTGGGGCAGGGCCCAAATGGACGAGCATGGTCGTTAGTTGATGAATGTTGAAGTTAGTAATGATCACCTACCTGGAGAGTCATGACATCATTCTCTTATTGAGGTAAATATTTTTTTAAAGATTCATTTATTTATTTGAAAGTCAGAATTACACAGAGAGAGGAGAGGCACAGAGAGAGAGAGAGAGAGAGAGGTCTTCCATCCTTTGGTTCACTCCCCAATTGGCCACAATGGCCGGAGCTGCGCCAATCCGAAGCCAGGAGCCAGGAGCTTTTTCTGGGTCTCCCACGTGGGTGCAGGGACCCAAGGACTTGGGCCATCTTCTACTGCTTTCCCAGGCCATAGCAGAGAGCTGGATCAGAAGCAGAGCAGCTGGGTCTTGAACCAGCACCCATATAGGATGGGGGCACTTCAGGTTAGGGTGTTAACCTGCTGTGCCACAGCACCGGCCCCCTGAGGTAAATATTTTGAAATCATCCCCAATACATTTGTTTTCCATTTAAAAAAATCATTCGTGTTCCCAAATTCTGCTTTTAAACAGATTCATGATTCATCTTTCTGTTTTAGAATAAGGGTACAGCTTAGTTGGGTCTCAGCACTCTTGCTGCAGCCCCCACTCCACCTTCCTATTATCCCAAGTAGTATTGTTGTTTTTCCTTGACCAAGCTTGGGCAAGCAGGAATATAGTCAACAATTAAGTCAACAGTTATTTCCTTTTGACTCTCAAATACCAACCATAGAGTAGCCCAAGGATCCTGGGCATTGCCAGACCGAATGTTCAGAATCCTTTCCTAATCATGAAATATGCTCTGGGAGCTGGAGTTCCAAGCTTTTCACTAGGGCTTCAAATACCACCCCTGGGCTGCAAATAGAAACTAGGATGGTAGCACATCTGTGAAAGCTGCTGTGTTTGTTCTTTTTCTGTATACTTCTTCCTGCACCCCTCTTATCTTTTTCCTTCTATTGGAAAAGTGTCTACCTGTTGGTGAAGAATTATCCATTTGGGCTTATAGGAACTCTCTGGTATTAACCATATCCCAGCGTAAACCAATTTGTTTGGCTACACTGAATGATGCAGTAAATCAATGCACCTGAGAAGGGTGCTGACTCTGTGAGAGGCTGCAAAATCGTCCTCTTTTTGGAGACTTAAACAATATTGTTGCTCTGGGGAAAAAAAAAAAAAGCTCAAAACACAAAGTAAGGCCTTGAATGAAAGAAAAGGTTATAGGCAAGTTGGGCTTCACAGGTGTTTTGGCACCAGCCAATCAAACAGGAAGGCATTTCTTAAATCAGGGGAGCCAGACGGACTTGCTATTTGATCCACAGCAGAGCCTGTTGCACAAGTCAAGTCCAAAATATTCTGCTCAGTGGGCAATTCTCTGCCACACCAGCCACTGGCAGGTGTCCCAGGAAAGCTGCATGGGAACCTTCTCCTGAGGTATTGCCTTCCTCTAAAGCTTGTCTGATTCCAGGAGGCCATAGAGACTCCTGAACAAGCAAGAGAGGAGAAGGAAAGGAAAGGAGCAGCTCAACTGGTTGAACCTTGGGCGGTGGAGGAAGATGGGCCAAAGTGTCTGGATTTATAATTGTCAGTTGGAACTCTTATTTTCCACAGGAAAGGCATTTCTTTAATCCACCTGTTCAATTATTTATCATGCTATGTGTTTCCTCTTAATTGTCACTCGGGCAAAGACTTTATGTTGTAAGGCGACACCCTAGTATTTTTTAATGACCTTAGGCAAAGTGATTGACACTAGATCCCGGAGTCAGATGTTCCTAGTGACGCAACTTGGCCTCCCAGTGGCAGAAAAGCTTCCTGCCATGATTAAGTTAGAACTGTGAAAGTGCTAAAATGTGTTGTCAGCCTTCCTCTGATGCAAGCACTTTTATTATAGAGCCTAGTTGCAGAGGAGTGTAGCAACACAAATCCTGCCTCCAAATACCCCTTTGCTCGCTGGGCTGGCATCTCCATGCAATATGCTTTCTACATGTGCTGAACACTTATCATCAGGCTCATGCCTTAGCTCTACTCCTTCCCTCTTTCATATTTGTTTTTCTGGGTTTGTAGAATAGTATGATTAAACTGATTTACAACTGGAGGGCTGCCAGCCTCTAAATGCTTGTCAACTACTCTCATCAAGCAGAACAAGAAGCGATCTGTTCTGTATTTGCAATTGAAATTGGAAAAATCATCTGTGTTTGCTTTGCTTGGTAGGAGGCTGAGATGGAGAGAAAGTGTCATACAATTTTTTTTTTATAAGGCCTGTACTTCCCGATACAAAGAACTGAGAACCTGAGAGTAATGAATATCAGATCCATTGTGACTCAACACTGGATGATCCATTTCATTTAAAACAACCTGCAGGGCTTTCTCAACTTCCCTTGCCTGAGTAATCTCCCCTGAGCTTCCTACTCTTTAGGGTTTGTAGGTAAAGGGTATTTATAGGCTGTTTCTGCCTCCTGAGTGATTAGATAGTGAATAGTCTCAGTTATTGCTGATTCATTAATTTACCGGTGTTGTACCACAACTAATGCAAGAAGGCCAAAACACATAAGGCTATGGCCCAGAAACATTTGTGACTAACTTGAAAAGGACAGAGAAACCAATGGGAAGTGGGTAATACTCCCATTATGTTTACGCTCAACATTCTTCTAGGTGTTGATTCCCAATTACTATAGCCATTTTGTCCCCACTCTACATTGACACTAGAGTTGCCCAGATCCAAATATATGTGGGTTAGTATTCAGATTGGGAAACTGCCTCTAAAGGTTTTTCTTGTTTCTGTAGAATGTTCGCCTTTGAACTGTCTTCATCAAACTCTTAATTCAATTACAAAGCATGTTTTTCACTGCTTGAATTTCCAGTTCTCAGACATGCTTGGTCTATTGTATATGCTCAGAAAATACTGAGGGAGATGAGTGAGTGAATGAAGAAGGTTTCAGTGTTATACGAGCTAGTTTGAGTCAACAATACCCTAACATTGTTGCATAGCAGGATCACTTATAAGGGTTTTACTTTTATTTTTTTGTTATTGCTCCAAGTACCACTTGTTATTTTCCCTAAATCTATATTCTTTGAAAGTTAATTATTTATTATACTCATTATGATTTTTATATTTTATTTTGCATATTGTATAATATTATTCATAATAATCCAAACAATGCAGAGGTCTCTAAGAAAAAATAATCTCTTTTTCCTGGAAGTAATACTCTAATGTGTAAATCCTCCTAACAGTTCATCCTGCGTCTCTATTTTTATTTTTGTTTAAAAAAAAACAAACATATATCCAATTTATTTTACAAGAATGGTATCACATGACAAATATTAGTTTAAAACTTGATTTTTCACATAATGTATTTCAGATACCCTTCCAAATCAATATCAATACATACCAGTCTGTTTCATTCACTTTACTGGTTACATAGTATCCACATGATAGATGCATTACAATATTACAATTGGTTCAGAAGTCCGTGTGTGTGTGTGTATATAGGGATTTAAATATAGGCAATGTGAAATATTCTTATAGTTATTTTACATCTATGAAAGCACTTCAAAAAGTTTGTGAAAAATGCCAATAAAATATATTTATTTTGATACAAAAAATGAAATTGATGCATAATTTTTTCTTAATATACTTTAATATACCTTTCTCCATGAACTTATCGATGACTCCTCATATATCTTTCAGATAAATTTTCAGAAGTGTAACAGTCCAAATAAAGAGCATGCACATTTAAATTTTTTGAAAATATGTCCATATGATGTGATTCCCTGCCCTTACCAACTATATATAAATATATATATATATATATATATATAGTTGTCAATCTTCTACTTTATTATAAATCTGCTGAGAAAAAAACTATTTGGGGTTAGTTATTTGTATTTCTTGGAACATTTTATTTGTTTATTTTCTTTTAATTTATTTATTTTCACGTCTCTCTCTCTCTCTCTCTCACACACACACACACACACACAAACACGGCAGGAGAAGAAAGAGAGAGCTACAAAGATCTGTTGTCCTCTGGTTCATTCCCCAAATGACTAAAACATTGGGACTGGGCCAGACCAAAATCAGGGGCCAGGTACTGAATCAGGGTCTTCTACATAGGTGTCAAGGATGCAAATAGTTGAACCACCACCTGCTCACTCCCAGGGTGTGGACTCAGAAGCATAGCTGGACCTTGGACCTGATGTAGGATGCAGGAGTACCAAGTGACATCTTAACTGCTGTGGCAAACACTGGCCCCTTTGCCTTTTTAACATGGATTCTGGATCTCCCTTCACACCCAGTGAACCAGAATTTTTTGCAGTCAGCTCCTGGGAACCCTGATCCTTATAGAGCTCCAGGGTGAGTCTGATGCAGTCATTGTCCCCAGCAGGCATTTGGAAACCACCAATAGGTCAAGATCATCCCTCAAGTTATAATGAGATGTGTGCTTCAACTATTAAACAACAAAGAAACCCAAACAACAACAGCAAAACTGAAAAGCAAAAAGAGCCAATTAGTAAAAAAAATGTGCATTGCATAGTTGTGTTATAATATCTATATGATTTAAAACACTATACTTATCTTAATTGTTGATGCAAATCTCAAATAACCACAACTTTTATTTATTTCAAGTCGTCACGGCGGGGTATTGGGAAAAGTTTTCAATTAGCAATAATTGCGCCTTGGATAAACCTCATTGGCTACGATACTGCCACTGCGCAAAGCTACACAACTTTTATTTAAACATCTGATCAAACCAGAGTATAGCTGTAGACATGACCAATTTCAAGACTTTTTAAAAATATTCTTAACTGCATTGAGGTCATAGAACCTCAATGTAGGGCACCCTATGGGAACTACAATGCCTAAGTTAGTGAGGCATCAGCAAGATAGAATAGAAAGAAAGATTTGCAGTCAGCAGGGCTGGATCTGGGCGTGAGTCTTATTTCTATTACATATGAACCACTGGATTGCAGGCAAACCATGTAACCCTCCAAGCCTCAATTTCCTCATCTAAAAATGAGGGTAATATAGAACTTCTGGAAGGAATTAGGACAGTGCATGTGGAAATTCCATGGTCACCTTGAAGCACCATGGAAGTCAGCCCTCTATCAAGTAGTTTGATAGCATGAGGGCTTTTTGAGATAGGGATATTGGGATACAGATACGCTGTCCTGAGAAAACATGGCTACCTACCTGGATTGGAAGGGAATAGATTCTTGCTAGATATGGCCAAATGCTCATTTCTGTGTCAATCCATCTTCTCTCAGTTTTTGCCACTTTCACTCATGATGTAAACTTGTTTTTGTGTTAATGGACCATTCACATTGATTTTCTTGTATGTGCATTTATGTACATGCAAACTCACTGAAAGCATATGCCAGCTATCCTTTAGAATAATCTTTGAGATATATAATAACAGTGTCTAATATATAGAGAACCAGATATTGACATAAAGACTTTGTAACTACCAACTGAATTAACAGTTACCACAATCCATTATTATTATCCCATTATTCCATTATTATTCCATTGTTCCATTATTATTATCATTTTGTTGAGAAACTAAGGCACACAAAAACTGGCTTGTCCCGAAATACACCCTCAGAAGTGCTAAAGCTGGAGGTTCAAGTCGAGGTATTTTCAATATGGTCTCTAGGAAGACAGTATTAATAAGATGATGAACAGGAAGATTTCAGCTATGGTTTTTTAAATTAAGGATATCTAAGTGTTTATAGATTGAAGCAAAGTGTGTCCTGAATGAGAACATGATTATTTGGTTCTCTGGTCATGAGTCTGAGCTCTATGGAGCTTGGGGTTATTTAACCCTTTTGCTTGGAGAGAATTTTGCGATTGATAAATCCCCTTCAAAAGTTCTGCTGTTTGCCTGTTGCCACAACCCAGGGAGATAGAGAGGTCGAAGGTTAAATGTCTGTCTGTGACCTTGCAGCATTTATTCATGGCACTCTCTTAGTGGGAATCCTGATTGCTCTTCACCTGGCGTTCTCCTCTACTTGTCCTGGTTTATCAAATCACCACCATCAAAGCTTTCTTGGATTCTCTCCTAGAGTGTTTTAAATGTGCCTGCTATACACCTCCTTCACACTGTGTCTCAATTGGCAGGCTGTGGCAGGCTCATATTGTGGATCTTGAATTTTCTTCCTAGAAAACTCAAGGTGACAGAGAATGAAAGTGCCAGCTTTGATAGTAGACTATGTGAATCAGAGCCATGTTCACCAGTAAGAGGGAATGTCTAGCTGGTTTTTGTTGTTATTGTTTTTGCTTAAAGATTTATTAATTTATTTGAGAGTCAGAGTTATAGAGAAAGAGAGAGAGAGATCCTCCATTGCTGGTTCAACCCCCCTCCCCAAGACAGACTCAACAGCCAGCTCTAGGCCAGGTCAAAGCCATGAGAGAGGAGAATCATCCTCATGGGTGGCAGAGGCCAAATGCTTGGGCCATCTTCCACTGAAGGTCCCAAGCCATTAGCAGGGAGCTGGATTGCATGTGGAGCAGTTGGGACTTGAACAAATTGGCACATGTGTGAGATGCTGGCTTCATAGGCACCAGCTTTTTTTTTTTAAAGGCTTATTTATTTATTTGAAAGTCAGAGTTACACAGAGAGAGGAGAAGTAGAGAGAGAGAGGTCTTTCATCCAATGGTTCACTCCCCAATTGCCACAATGGCCGGAGCTGTGCCCATCTGAAGCTAGGAGCAAGGAGCTCCTTCCGGTCTCCCACGTGGGTGCAGGGGCCCAAGAACTTGGGCCATCTTCTACTGCTTTCCTAGGCCACAGCAGTGAGCTGGATCAGAAGTGGAGCAGCCAGGACTAGAACCGGCGCCCATATGGGATGCCAGCAATTCAGGCCAGGGCGTTAACTTGCTGCACCACAGCGCCGGCCCCCACAGGCAGCAGCTTTACCTGATACATCACAACACCAGCCCCATATCTTGATTTTTGTAAACTGCTACAAATATATGAAGGTCATCACAAGGAGGCCTAACCAAATGGCAGATGTGTCAGTAATAATCTGCATTTTTAGTCCCAGTTTCTCAGAACTGTTTCTGACCTCCCCTCCCTTTTAAGCTTCTGCTTAGAATATGTGTTTTCAAGAATCAAGTGTTGAAAGTTTACTCTGTACCAGGTAGCAGAGACATAGCGGATAAGTGAGTGGGTTCCAGGTTTTAAATGCAGGTCCTGCTCTTTACAGCTAGCTGTGTGATTTCTATGAGTTTGTTAGTCTATAATTCAGTTTCTATAAATTGAAGATAATATTTGCATCTACTTCATTGGGTTGTTGTGATGGTCAAATGAGATATTCCATGTGAAACTCATAGCCTGATGTTTGGAGCATAGGGAATGCTTGGTAAATGCTCTTGTCAGGATTACGAATTAAATTCCTACTCTGTAGTCTTGTTTCCAGAGCACTTTCTTGAGAATGTATCTCTTGCTGTTTTGCTATTTCAAAGCTCCTAAATCTCATCTTATTTCTGTACCCTAGACCCTTCTCCCCTCTAGAGGTTGCTCTGCCCTGTCCAGCCCATGTTCTGCTGCTACATCCCTTTTCTCAAACAGAGATTTTAAAAGCAGGTGTTACATTAATCACAACTAAGATGGAAAATATTTTAAAAAATGAGGATGTCCAGACTCTTCCAGTGCAGGTGGGAAAATAAATTAATTAAACCATTTTTGAAAACTGTCTGGCAGTAGAGCTGAACACATGCTTTTCCTCTAACCCAGGGTCCCCATGCCTTGGTCTTTACTCAGCAGAAACTTGTATTCATGTGTCAAAAACCAGGTAGAAGAAAGTTCACGATAGCACCATGTTACCCATCCCTACATAACACATTACTCCCAAACTGAGCAACTTGAAACAACAAGCATTTATATCATAATTTCTGGAGATCAGGAATCCTAGCTTGACATGGATGTATATAGGGCCAATTTACCCAATAGGAGCAGGGGACACAGCGCCTGGGACCCAAATACATGTAAGTACAAATTCCTTTTAGTAGTAAGTGAGATGTGTCTTTTCCTCCATGGTTAATGGAGGGAGGAGCCTGCAAGGACTGATGTGCCTAGGTCCCATGAGAGTCACCATACAGCCCTAGCTGTTTGGTTCTGTGGGATGTGTGTGTCTCAGGAGGTTTCGGTCAAGCTGTCAGTTAGCATCACAGCCACTGGGAGACTCCTCTGAAGGAAGATGTCAGGTAGCTTCTGGCAGGCCTAGATTCTTCTCTGGTTATGCACCACCAGCCTCAGTTCCTCACCACAAGGTCTCTCCATGGCTGCTTGGGTGTCCTCATGGCATAGCAGATGGCTTCCCCCAGAACAATGGGAGAGAGTGACAGTGAGACACAGAGGAAAGCCTCAGTGTCTTTCAAAGCCTAATCTTGGAAGCAACAAACCATCACTTCTGTCGTATTCTATTGGTCTGGACCCTGGGCAGTGTGAGAGGGGAGCCCATGGTACATGTGATACCAGCAGCCAAGAAGTCGGCCGTCACTGAGACTGGCTAGACTAGAAAGCATCTGATATCTATATCTCTATCACTGGAAGAAAGGATACACAAATGAGGGTATATTTGTGCAGTGGCATTCTACACAGCAATGAGAATGAATCATTTACAACTATACACAACAATATAGCTGTATCTCACAAGCATAGAATTGCACAGGAGCCCGGCAATAGAGTATACACTATGATGTCTTTCATATAAGGGTAAGAAACAGGCAGCCATGTGTGAGAGTTCAGGAGAGTGGTTCCCCTTGGAGAGGGAGTGATTAGAAGTGGATGCAAAAGGAGTTTGATCCACAGATGGGTATGCAGAAATTTGTTGAGTTGTACGCCTGTCTCTGTGTATATTATACTTTAAATAGAGTTTTTAAAGCAGACTCTAGAACATCTTTACTGGTTTCCTTTCTTCAAGAGAGGTTCTGGAAATGATTTCAGTTATGGCTAGGCTAGGCATCAACCAGGGTGCTGTGGACTCAGTGCTATGTCCCCTCCCACCAAATGCATATATTGAAACCTCATTCCCAAGGTGAGGCGGTGGAGTCTTTTTGAGATGATTACATCACAAGGATGAGTGCTTCACCAGCGGGACAAGGCCTCAGAGAGCTCCTTTGCCGCTTCCCCTACTGGAGGGCACAGGAAGTCTGAGTCTAGGAAGCAAAACATGGGCTCTAACTGGATGCTGACTTGGCCAGTGCCTTCATCTTAGACTCCCCAGTCTCCTGAGCTGGGAGAAATAAATCGGTGTTGTCCATAAGTCACCTAGCATTCCTAGTACTCTTGTTGGGCAGCCTTAGCAGACTAAGACGCTGGGGTGACTATTCTGAGTGGTCAACTTACTGACTACACTGCTAGGCTGCATGTGCTGTGAGATCTTGGTGGAGCGAGTCACTTAACCTCTGTGTGCTCCAGTTTCCTCTGTCACAAAGCATCATGGACCCTAACAGTCATGGCCCCAGAGTACGGGGAAAACTGTGGGCCGATGTCAGGTACAGTTCAGTTCTGCTATGCACAGAATCAGCACTAGAGTCAGGGAGTGATTAAAACAAATCAGTGTAAACAAATCACCCTTGAAAATCTCTAGAGAAGCTTAAGTCGCTGAGAAGCCCACCCTTGGGAGCTTAAAAACTAGGAATCTGCAACTTCTTTTATTTCTCTTTAGATTTGCACCATAATCTTCCTTTTTGCAAGGCAATCGAGGACAAGGCTGG